GAAAGAATGGACAAGTTGTTTCATCCTTTAAAAACTCTGCATGTTCACCACTTCTTAAAACTCCATAACACTCCTCAGTTCCTGACAGCCGCAGGGACAAGAAACAATACTTGCAGAGGACAGCATGGAGCTATCATATGGGGTACCGTCAGTGCTGCCTGCCAAAACTTCGCTTTTGGCTTCACTACTGGATTGTTTCTGTTAAGACACTTGCCACTCCTCTGTTGCTACTCTGTCACACCAAGTAAGCAACAACCACAGTTCTGACTACCTTCTCTGTAAATTAGCTACTACACATCAGCAGGAGATGGATGAATGCTCTTAGGAAGGCACTATCTTAAATTTATAGATCGCGTGTTCTGCTTCTTTGATTTAATCTGGAAATTGGGCTTGTTTTTCACATTTGATGTCTAATATGAAAGCTACTTCTCCCATGATCTAAAAGCTAGTGTGTAGTATTCATGAAAAAACTAGCTGCCCTTTTAATAACACACTTTCTTTTTCTTTTCCATGTAATCCTTCCCAACCCTCTCTTCTTCCCCTCTTCCTAGGAGACTTGCTCTACTATAGTGGCATTTTTAATGTTGTCTACTACTGGCAGTCAACCATCCTAGCCACCATCACAAAGGACAGTAATGTAAAGCAAGCAAGGCTTTATCTTTATGGTATCATTTGTTAAGTGATGTTCAGGAAAACTAAGCAAACCACAAGACCATTATTTAAGAGTTAAAAAAAAAAAAAAAAAAAAAAAAAGAAAAGCAATCATCATTTCACAACACTCATTAATCCTTCCTATAAGGTCTGAACTACTCAAGCAATTATCAGCCTAAGCTGCTATAGGTAGACTCAGCTGAACCCAGCTGAGTCAAGTTTTAAGTCCCTAGTACTTGAAGAAGTCTTCAAATGTCCATAATCACAACAAATCTCAGCATCCCGTTTTCCTAAAATGATCACAAGGACATTTTGGTACCTATACACATGTATGTCAAAACAAAGTTTTAAATTCTCTTATCATTAAGCTTACACTAAGAAAAACTAAGAGAAGCAGGTTACACTAAGTGTATAATATTAGAACTAGGTGCTATTCAAAGCTGTCCTGGCTACCAGCCTGTTCTCTGACTACATCTCTGGAGAGGTGGCACACTGAACTAACTCTCTGCTTGGGACACCTATCTCCTCCAGACCTGGGTTTATCTTGCAGACTTACTCCTCTTCCTAAGAAAGCACCGCTGCCACCTCTGTAGATTAGGTTTTAGATGGAAAATACTCCACTTTTTTATTTTCCCAGACCAAGGGATGAATTATGATAAACAATTATCAGTAGATAACCCGGGTTGGTTTTTTTATCATGACAACTTATCAGACTCAGTTATAAAGGCACTTGCTATACAGTCAAGCCAGGAGCTGACTAAAGTGCTTACAACCTTTTCTGTCTGCATCCTTTTGTATTCACAGATTTCTCCATCATCCCAGAAGGATAAGTTTAATTACTAAATGTTCAATTAATGTCTTTGTTTTTAGATTAAAAAGGTTTTGTTCTTTATGCCTAAAACAAAAATTCATTAACTTGCACTAGCAAAAATTCTTTGGTTCAGAGGACATTGTTATAACAGCATGATTTAAACTTAAGAGATAGCCGGCATTCTTGCATGTCCGTTGACAGTTTCCTTCCCAAAGTATTGAGAACTGAAAGCTGCAAAGATGAAGACTAAAGCAACAACCACCAAACAAAACCTCTGTATGGTTGCTGCCCTGTAAGCCACGACTTGATGGCACTCCCTCAAATTCAACTTTGCTCACGTTAGATGTTTTCAGACCTTTCAAATACATAGAAACTTAAGTTAAAATACATTTTGAAAAGTTTTATCTTAATACCTTTTCATAAAGCATAGATCTTGTATATTTAACATAGTATTAACATCTCTCTACCCAGACATTTAGATTCTGCACCACTCAACTCTGTTTCTTCGCAGTTTTACTTTTAATCCTGCCATGAAGAAGGTGACAGATCTAATAAGGTGTTTTTTGTCTTGCCAACTTCAAACAATGAGATTTGGATACCAAATAGGTAATGGAAAGTAAGCTGCCTCAATATCTTCCAATTCCAACAGGAATTCCTCATTTATATTCAATACACACAATCTTAATGTGTTCATTCTACTACCTCACTTCCAGTTCAGCTGCTTTCTTCACATTTCAATTGAAACTTATTTCCACAACAACTCAAGAGTGAGTTTACATTTACATAACCAAAGTGAAAACTGGAAATGCACACATTTCAAGTGATGTGAACCTAGCTGCTGTTCAATATCCTAACAAAACATTTTCCAAATAACGGAATTCCATTCTTCAGGCTACTTTAATTCTACTTCAGGCTTAGTCTTATAAGAGGACAGGAGGAAAGCCAATAACCCCACTTAGCAGCTCAACTGACCAACTTAACTAACCTAGAATTAGAACTTATTGTTTAGGCAAGTTTTTTGTTGTTGGGTTTGGTTGGGTTTTTTTCCTTCTGGAAAACATTGGAACATTTTTACTCCTTTTCTCTTTTAAGTAACAGCTACAGCTTTGATGATATTCTCTGCAAGTGACAGGAAAAAGGAAGCATTTGTCATTGTAAATTCTGTAGAGAGAAAAATATTTTGTCTGCTCCTATATATATACCAAACAAAGTTTTTTCCTTGTTCATTGATCACTGAGCCCACTGCATTTCACTGGGAAAAAAAAAAAAAAAGTGCCTCCTGTTCAAACAAAGAGGAGCACTGGAGATCTCTCAGCAGATCATTTTGTATAAAAGAGTGTATCGTACAGAGGCAGAATTCAAAGAACTCTTCCCAATACCAAACACCCACAACAGATGCCAGAACATTTTCCAGCATATGTCAGAGCCCAGACTGAACCAGATAACCTCCACAAGTAAATACGGAAATGAGAATGCCAGTTGTTAAATACGCTCTAAGAGTTTTCCGATAAGCATTTGATGTGTCCTTCTACTACTTTAAGATTTTCGGTTGCTGCAAGACTAAGCTCAGTGCAACTTCCCTGTTATCAGAAATTCTCAGCATCAGAAGTCATCACTGCACCACTTATGAGTTTATCAACTCTGTGTCACCCCTCTATACGCACACACAAATGTGGAAGTTGACTATTAATATAGTTGGCAGGGTCTTCCAAAACCGCAAGATTACAAGTACCCATTTGTAACTACTGTGTGCAAGTCTACTGTTGTAATCTGTCATTTTGCTTTCAACAGGATTTTTTCCTGAGAACAATAAAGCTCAGCCCTTCTTCCAAGATGAAACCCAACAAGACCATCATCTTGACTCGTCAAGGAGCTTCACATTCATTGCCGCCAGTGAAACAGGTTGCCTCGGGAGCATCAAGCCCTCCACAGGGGACACAGGCCCCTATTCGGACCCTCTGTCCACAGAAATGCAGCTCCGAGCCCTCTTTCAGGGATGTCTACTGCAAATCACACCTCCTCCTTCGCTCTCATTAAGTTAAACACACCGAACAGCATGCACCGACCGCGAGCAGCACTGATTACGCCGTTTCCCACTTCCCTCACGGACTTCCCTTAAAAACCCAACGAACACTGCTTTTACTACTGTTATTACTACTGCCATCATTATTATTTTTCAGACACGAAATCGGCCATCGCCCTCATCTTTCCAGCGGTGAGTCTGCATTTTCCTTGTTCGCCGCTCCTTTTTAGGCATCCCAACGGAGCAAATGCCCAGCCCTGCCGCCCCGCCCGGGAGCGGTGGCCGGGGGTGCCCGGGGGGGCGCGGAGCCGCCGTCGGAGTGGATCGCGGGGAGGAGCTGCCGCCGCTCGGGGGAGGGCAGCCGGCATCGGGGGGAGGCTCCACTGCCGCCACCACCCCCCAGGCTGCCGGCAGGGCTACGTCCCCTCCGGCGCTTCGTCTGGCCCGGGCTGTCCAGCCTTGTCCTTCGTCCGCGCCGCTATGCCCCGGGGACACCGTCGGGGCGGCGGGGGCAGCCGCCCTGCCCGCCCCGTTGTGTGCAGAGAGTAAACACCGAGGGAAAAGGCGGCCTCCATTTTTTTTTTTTTTTTTTTTTTTATCCCGGCAGCCTGTCAACAGGCTCCCCACCTCTTCCCCTCCCGATCCGCCGCACCGAGCTCGGCTTCCCAGCCCGGCAGCGCCCGAGAGCCGCTGCTGCCCCGCCTCAGCCAAGGCAGGGACACCTCTTAAAGTGGGCTTCGTTTTTCGTCTGCCTCTTTCCCTTGTGGCTGTAACATCCGCTCTCCACGCTGCCCTCTCCCACTCCTGCCCTGGGCCGCCACCCAGCAGCACGGCACTGGCAGAGCGCTGCCTTTTATAGCGGTGTCATCCACGCCTGCCTCCCCGGGGGACCCGGCCGGCTCAGCCCGAGCCTCGCAGCCTCGCTCACCCTTTCCGCCCTCCCGACACCCTGGGCTGCCGGACCCGAGGGGGTCCTCCGCCCGCAACCCCCGGCGGGACATCTTCGGGGGGCTCGGGTCCGCCTTGTGCTGTCTGGTGACGCCCGGCCCCGGTAACGCGCCTGCCATCGGGCCAGCATCAGAGGCAGAGTAGCACCTGTCACCGGCGACACCGCCCCGGGGCAGCCTCAGCCCCGCACCCTCCGGGCCGGGCCGCCGCCGCCGCACTCGTTTTCACGCCTCGGTTCTCCCAGCGACGGTGGCGTCCCGCCCGCGAGTTGCTGTGCCTGAACCTAAGCCCCGCTGTCCCCGGCACGGGATGAGAGAGGCTCGGCTCTCTTCCCCACCGCCGCCCCGAGGAAGACGCCCCGCACGGACGCGCAATGCCGAGGCGGCCCCGCCAGAGAGGGGCGGGCGAGCCTTCCCCGAGGCCACCTGACAAAGCCGGCTGCCCTCGCCTCCTCTCCTGGCTCTGTGGGGAAGACGTCGCTTCCCCAGGGCCACCTTCCGCCGCTACCTTCAGCCGAGGTCTCACGGGCCCTGCCTTCTCACTCCCCCGGGACGGGACCCCACTCACCGGATCGGAAGAACGCCGCGATGTCCGCCGAGTCCTTGGCCGCCTCCTCGGCCCCTTCCCCCGCGCCGCTGCCGGCCGTGGTGGCGGCGGAGGTGGCGGTAGCGGCGCTGCTCATGGCTGCTCCTGCTGCTGCTGCTGCTGCGTGTGCCGGCGGCGGTGGCTCCTCCGGGCGAGACCCACCGCTGACCCCGCCGCCCCCTCCGCGGGTCCCGGCTTCACCTCCGGGCGGGAGCGGCCGTCAGGGCGGCAGCCGGAGCGGGCGAGCGATGCGGGGCGGCGCCGGGCGGCCGCAGCGAGCGTAGGGACATGAAGGTATGTGCGGAATGGCAGCTCCAGGAGCGCCCACCCCCCGCAGCCACCTAGGAGGCGGCGTGTGCATGCAGGGAGTCCGGGCGGGCGGGCGGGCGGCAGCCGGAACGCAGACAATCGCAGGAGGAGGAGGAGGAGGAGGAGGGCGACGACGACGACGACGGCATGGGGAGGGCCAGCGGTCCGCGCAGCCAGCAGCCGGTGGGCGGAGAAAGAAGGAACGTTTCCAGCCTCTTTTTTTTCTTTTGCTTTTTTCTTTTTTTTTTTCCTTTTTTTTTTTTTTTTTTTTTTTTTTGGAAGGAGCGAGGAGCAATCCGGAGGAGCAGCAGCTGCACTAGCCGCCGTAGTGCCGGTGGCCGCAGCAACCGCCGTCCTCCATCTTGACTGGGAGGAGGAGGAGGAGGAGGAGGAGGAGGGTGGGAAGGGGGAGTCGGGAAAGGAAGCGAGTCCCCGCCCGAGGAACAAGGGCGGTGGAGACGGGGGGGGGAGCTCGGGAGTCTCCGGCTGCGCCCGGCAGCGGTCGGGATGGGGCGGGGCTGGGCGGTGCAGGTCGGCAGCGATGCCGCCGAGCTGGCACCCGATCGGCGGGGGCGAGGCGGCCCGGGGTGCCCGATCGGTGGGGCGCCCAGGGAGATCCCTGCGGCCAGTGTGTTTGTTGTTCGGGCTTTGATTGTTTTTCTCTCTCTCTCTCCATTTTTTTTTTTTTTTTAATGTTTTAGCTGCTTCCGGCTGGTTTTCGCTCTCCTGCCAGCTCGCTTGTGTGTGCGGCGGTCGGGCCGGGGCTCCTGAAAGATCCCAGTCCGTCTGGCCCAAGGCGCTGCGAGAGCGTGGGAATCGCGCCGTGCTCCTGGCTGTCGCTCCCGGGGGGCTCGGTGCGAGGGCACCCCCGCCTCCCAGGGGTCGTGCTCAGCAAGAGCGCTCCTGCCCGGGGCTCAGAAGGAGGCTGGCTGTCCGCTCCAAGGGAAAGGGGGAAAGGGGTGTGCAGATTCTCCAGAAAGGTGCCTTCAAAAAGCATCCGTTAACACTGCTGTCTGCGTTGTGGATATTTTTTCCTCAGTGATCGCTGGGGCACTTCAAAATGTGCCATGCTGTGGGCCGGTTCAATTAACATAAAATAAGCAAACAGCTCATGACGGGGAGCACAGCTAGGTGTGGGTTAACATGCAACCCACCACCGTCTTGCACCTCATGTTAAGCTGCCAGTATAAGTTTTTGTCCAGGTAAGGTTAAAAAGAGGTGACAAAGCAGGAATCTTAGCAATTGCACAAACTTATGAAGCTGAGTAACCCGTCTCAAATGCTTGTGGTAAATAGTAAATCATTAACACACTTGAAACTCAGAAGTTCAGCTTTAAACATCTGAACCTCTGATAAGTGTTAAAAGCAAGAGATATTCTTAGAACATCTAGGAGTATCAAGAGGTATTCTTAGAACACCTCTTGAGTAGGAAGGGACCCACAAAGATCATCCTCTTGAGTAGGATCACCCCAAAATCACATCATGTGCTTGAGAGCTCCTTGAACTCTTCAGATTGTCACTGTGACGACTTCCCTGGGGAGCCTGTTCCAGTCCCCAACTACCCTCTGGGTGAAGAAACTTCACCTAATATCCAACCTAAACCTCCCCTGACACAGCTTCATGCCGCTGCCTCAGGTCCTAAGGGAACCCTTAGGGGTTCTGTTAGTTTATCACAGTCAGATGATGAGGAAGTCACCTGCAAGGTTCCCAAAGTTTGTATTTATCTGAAGTCGTATAGCCTGATGAAAAAAAGGTTTTGTGCAATTACGTCTGCCCTAATTTCTCTTACAGAGAAGAGATTAGTTTGACTGAAAAGACTGTTGTTTTTTTTTTTTTTTAATGTTTTTCTTTCAGGCAGCCGGCCTGAACTCTTTCAGGAAAAAGTTCCAAATTAGCATCCCACTGGCAGAAATGGTTGCAACGTGAATTCCTTTCTAGCTGGCCTAGCACCATCCACTTAGCAAAAAACATGAATGGGACAAATGCTGCTATTTCCTAGCAAGCAGTGAGTTGACCTGTGAGTAGGCATACAATACTGTATATCTGCACACAAAAAAGCCCTGCATAAGAATGTAAGAAAATTTGATAAGTACATGAGAAGAGTTAATATAAAGAGTAAAGAAAAAATAAGATTCTCCATAATTTGAGCTTTCAGTGGCTGCAGAGCAAGAAGTGCTTGATATTACTTGTTTTCTGAATTTGAAATAAGACTTTCATATACTGTGTAACACTGGGAAAAGCTTTAGAAAGCTGTTCATCAGTTACTTAAAATAAGACACTGTCTGTTTCCAACTAGTTGGTCATCCAGCATACTGTACAAATTTTAAGTGGGTGCCAAACGGTCAAGGTTCATTTGAACAATTTTGAAGGCCATATGACTCAAGTTTGTCCCTTTCTCTGTCCCCTCCATCTGCTGAATTGCAGAAGACACTGGACTTGGGTTTTTTTCTAACACATGGGTGCCCTGAGCCATGTATACCACTACAGGAGCCTTTCATCACTGTGAAAGTGATTGAGATCATCTAGTTGTAATTTGAGCTCTTCATCATCAGCAAAGGTGGCCCTTACGGAAAATCTTTCGAGAACCAAATATGCTCATATCCTTTTCAGCATTCATAAGGATTATGGCAATACATGGTGTTCATGCTAATGTTCGGGGTGCAATATTTACTGAAGGATAAGTTAAAAGGAAGAGACAAAGATAGGAAAATGACATTATGACTCTCTAATAAAGCAAGGATTTAATTCACAGTTATCCACCTTAATATCAAATACCACATTTAATATTTTGACATTAGGAAATTAAGTTTCTCAGTCTGGTTCTTCTTGATAATTTTAGGCTTGAAACTAAAACAAACAAACAAACTTAGTATGAATTGTCTATGTGGAGAGCGCTGCAGATTGAAAAGTTGTGTGAATTTGGCTCCTTTGGAGCATTGTCATTAAGGCAATAGTTCTGTTCTCCATCCTCAACTCCTCCTTTGCTTGACTTGTTACTTGCCAGCCTGCAAGTGTTTTTGTACCAATTGAAATGGTAAATGCAGGAAAGGTAAAAATATTCGTCATGTAAAAGTTACTTTAGGGGTGCTGTGACATGCAAAATATCAATAGCATTAAGGCCAAAATTCAAATTAGGGTTTATTTAAATTGTATACTAGGAGTTTTAAAATCCAATTAAGTTTAATTTCTGTACTTCTTATATATATATATATGTATATAAAAGATATGCATATATATATATTAAAAAGCATTTAATTTCCTATAAGCAAATTGTTCAAAAATATTTAAACCCCAGTAAAATAAATGCCCAAAGAGAAGTGTTGTTTCATTTAAATGTCTTTTATTTTTGTTTGTGTAGTGTCTTTCTCTGGTTGAATGGTCACTCTAAAATCAGTATGCCAATGCACACAAACTTTCGTTCCTGTCAAAGAGGTGTCATGTGAGGGAAGAAGCTTGCCCAGTGTCTAGCCTTCTGTATCCAGGCTGAGAAGTGTCACATGCCACTTCATGTTTCATCCCTAAAGGAATTTGCAGACTTGATACTGCTTGAGTTCTTTTCCTGCAGTGTTTGCTGCCCACTTAATCAAGAAAACAAAAAAATCCAAGATTTCCACATTTCTACAAGCCATTAAAGAAAGCAGGGCAAGCTTGATTTAAAAATCCATGATATTTACAAGCTTTTAGGAGAAATAAACTAGAAACTCATTTTGGAAAAACTGCGAGACAGGAGATGATACTGACCTGGGGCCACCAATCTGAGTTGTCTCCTTGCTTAGAACTAAGAGAGAATTCAATTATGAAAAAAACAACCAAAAAATCCAAACCCCAAAAGCCCAAATCTATTACAAAACTCACCCAACAACTAGATCTTTGCAATGGAGTGTTCTTGTAGTTGTTCATAAGCTTCACTATCCGTTTCACTAATGGAAACACAGAACGTAAAAGATAGTGTGAGGACAAGACTTACACATGGAAAACACTTTAGGGGAAAATGCACATGGACTTTAGTCTAGCCAGCCTGTAAGAGCTACTTCTAACAAATGCTGTTTTTCTACAGCGGGCTTTTGGGGAATTTCTATCTATAAAACACAGCATAAGCACTTAGAGTAAGTGGTAGAGGAGACCATACCAGGTGCTACTGTGCTTTTAAGATGACAAGGCTTCTTTCAAGTTTGCAGCAGTTAAGGAAAGCAATCAAAGTTATTAATGTGTACCACCTCTGAGTTGCTATCTGGTTTCTGATCTAAATGGTGCTTCTGTTATAGCAGCATTTGTCAATTTCAAATTATTCTTCAAGCACACTATGCATCTCTTTTATCTGTACACTAGCACTGAGGCATTTTCCAGCTGTTACCATTATTATTGCCCTCTTTTCCACGGAAGCATCCATGTCTTTTTGAAAAGTTGTTTTGAACGGTTTTAAGTCCATGTGCTCCACTTCCTTATGCTATAAAATCAAGGTCTTGTTTCATTGTATGAGTTCTGGCAGCTTTTGGAACCTTGCCTCTTCATTGTTTCTTCTACTTTTCTGAAATTTTTTTTTTTTTTTTTTTTTAGTATCTGATTGCAGATGACCTACCTGTCACCTGTGTAAAATATTGCCAGTCTAATTAAAAATATTTTCTCCATACTTCTCCTGGTAAGACCTCCCACATACAAGCTTGAGAAGTGGGCCCATGGGAGTCTCATGAGGTTTAACAAGACCAAGTGCAAGGTGCTGCTGGTCGGTATCAATACAGGCTGGGGGATGAACACATTGGGAGCAGCTCTGCCTAGAAGGACTTGGGGGTGCTGGTGGATGAGAGGCTAGACATGAGCCAGCAATGTGCACTTGCAGCACAGAAAGTCAATTATGTCCTGTGTTGCATCAAAAGCAGCGTGGCCAGCAGGTCAAGGGAGGGGATTCTGCCCCTCTACTCTGCATGGTGAGACCCCACCTAGAGTACTGCATCCAGCTCTGGGGTCCTCAACACAGGACAGACATGGACCTTCTGGAGCAACTTCAGAGTAAAGCCACCAAGATGATTAGAGGGGTGGAGCACCTTTCCTATGAGGACAGGCTGAGGGATTTGTGTTTCTTAGCCTGCAAAGGAGAAGGCTTCAGGGTGACTAATTGTGGCCCTCCAGTACCTGAAGGGAACCCACAAGAATGATGGAGAGAGACTGCTTACAAGAGCATGTAGTAATAGGACAAGGGGGAATGGTTTCAAACTTCACCAAGAGTGGGTTTAGATAAGATATTAGGAAGAAATTCTTTACAGGAAGGGTGGTGAGACAGTGGAACAGGTTGTCCAGTGAAGTTGTGTTTACCCCATCTCTGGAAGTCTTAAAGTCAGGTTGGATGAAGCTCTGAACAACCTAGTCTAGTGGATGGTATTTCTGCCCAGGCAGAAAGGTTGGAGCTAGATGATATTCAAGGTCCCCTTTCAACCCAAACCATTCTATAATTCTATGATTCTTACATTTCCTTAGAGCAGCACTTCCAGCTCACACCAGGGCATAACATTTCACAGATTACTCTTAGGACCTGAAAGGGGACATTTAGTACACTTAAGTGAAAAACTGTAAAGACACAGTGTTTGGTGGTAACTACAACTAAAGTTTTACTACATATGTGGTCATGACTGTCAAATCTTAAGCAAAGAATCAAGCAGCTTTTTAATAGCCTACAGACCAACTTGTGTGTCTTTGCACATCGCTTACCAAAAATACTAACTGTCCTGATTTTATTTATAACCAAACTTTTTTTTTTTTAAATTCTCACCATTTTAATGATGTGATATCTATAAAAATTCAACTCCCAGTTCTGCTATGTGGCATGTACTGACTTATCAATGTCAAGGACAGTTATGTGTAGAAAATATACCAGACAGCTGATGTTTTATAGACTATTGGTGGTCTATATGCCATCTGTTGACTAAATTCACTCTAACAAAAGTGTTGGTTTGTCTGTTTACACTTAGGCATTCATAATTCTACATTATTGTACATTATTGTACAATTAATGGTGGCTGAGCCACTCGACTGAACCTCAGACAAGTCATCCCATTGCTTCTGCTATCCGGGTTTTCAGAAATGCTTGTTGTCTCAATCAGGAACTGTGCAAGCACGTAAATGGACATGGAATGAACACCTTAATTTCAGGTTTTCTATCACTATCATTAACATTGACATCATACTGGACTTTCAAAAATTATTTTCCAATTTGTCCAAGGTTTTCTAGGCAGAAATGTGTGCAGTGCTTCAGAGGCTTTCTGAAAAAATTGAACTTTACTGTGCCCGGTTGAAAACAACGTGCACATTCATTACACGATTACAGCCTAGATGGAACAAATCCAGAAATCCTAATAGTAGGACAATGCATGCCAAAGCCTCCGTGAGTGATTCACTCCTCTTTTTTCAGTCAGTTATTCTCCAGATGGTATGACCTCTTATTCTGCTTTTGAAAGACTTTCCTTTAGATATTCTGTGGTGTGCTCCTCACTCTACAACAGATCAAATTACATATTCTTGATCATTTTGCATTGTCATTCCTGAATTTTTGAAGCCCCTACTCTGATAAGGGTATGGTTCCAGGTAACTAAAGAAGAAGTATGTGACTTTTTTTTTCCCCTAGGTTCATCTTAACTGGTGAGGAGTTAAATACATCTCCTCCATCTTTCTTTAGCTTTAAGAGCATTTTAGGGAAAAAAAAGTTCAGGAGAAAAATTCAGCATTTTGCTTTTCTTGCTCAATTCCACCTTCTACTGTCTCACATGTTAATCCTTACGTGGAAAATCATCTGTTTTGAAGTCTTTGTAAGTCTAAGTTAAGAAGTTGAGCTCCAGCAATCTAGATCAACTGAAATAATGAAGTTTTGACATGACTAGCTTCAGAGCAAAAACTGTAGCACAATTTTTGCTTACACTTCAGAAAGTATAAAGAGCTTAATGCTGTACATATTTCCTTCTTAGGCTTCCAGAATCTTGCTTTCCTAGTTTTGGCTCTTTAAACTAATCAACTGAGTAGGTGCAGCCTACTCAGTAGCTTGTGCCATGACATATTATTCCC